TTTTCACTTTGTTGAGCAGCACACATTAAATGCCCACTAGAAAAGTTAGCACATGTATTTAGAAATTTAGTCCAATATGAAAATAACTGAAGATCCTGTCTGAAACATCTGCATGCCTTTTCTCTGGAAGTTGTGGAAACACCCTAAACAGACTATAACCAGTCTGGGTATTTGGCATTTTACCCCAAATGTGAATATGCATGTAACTGAATATGTATATGTTTAAATTTTTATGCTTGATTTATTTTCTCATGGTGATCAGCTTTCCATGAGCTTTTTGAGAGTGATAATGAGGATTCATGATGCAAGAAGCAAAGCATCCTTTTTCAGCAGCTCAGCATCATATTGGATGGTTCAAAGCAATGTGGCTTCAAGAGCAGAGGTGCTGCTCTGGTATTCGGGTACTGCAACATCTCCAAAATAAATAGGATTAAAATCCTCTTAGAGAAATTCAGAGTATTCCCTGCCTGTAGAGATAAATAAAGCTCACCAGAGAAAATTATTCCAAGGTCTGAAGCCTCAAGCTGCTGGGCTCTTTTTGGCTGACAGCTCAGTTTTGGAGGAGTGCCAGGCTACTGCAGGAATGCAAGTGGGATGGTGCTGGTAAAAATGTAACTGACTGCACTAAGGAAGGAAAGGTGTAAACTGTCCGGAGCTTTGAGCTTTTAACATACCCTGGAGCTCCCCCAGAGCCAAACCTGGGAGACACAGCACAGCATAGATGTGGGCACAGTGTGCATGTGCTCTGGTATGGCCCCAGGAGTCACTGCGAGAGTCCTCACCTGAGGGCATTGCTGCCCACAGCTCCGATGTGCTGTGAGTTAGGACAGCCTTGAGGCTGCTTTCTCCTGGGTGCTGCAAGCAGCTCCCTTCTCTTTCCACGTGGGACATCTCTCACAGCCAGGAAGGAGCTTCTGGGACAATCTGGATGAATGCAAGCTGTGGAACCCACAGCAGATAGGTTTACCTATTGTGTCTGATAATGAGATCACCACTAAATCATTTCCAAATCAAGATTATTCAAAAAACATTAATTACTGAGGAGCATGTTTCCCCTTTGTTTTATATATTCTTAAACATTAACCTCAATTGTTCCTGCAACATACATTCTTCCCTATGATAGATAAAGCCCCCATGACTGACATGCTTACTTTGCAGCTCCAAAATAATCTAATTACACATGAAAACGTTTCAGTGCTGAACAGGTGCTTCCAAATATTCAAAACATAAAGGCTGTGAAGTTTGGTTTGGTGCTAGCAGAAGGTGCCAGGCTGACAGCACTACACAGTTCCTCCTGGAACATGTGGAACAATGCAGCTGCCATCCTCTGTTCCACTTGCTATCTCTGGACTCTGCTGGGTTTTCTCTGTGGATGTCAAAGCACAAGGATGCTGCAGCTGTCCCAGACCTGACCTCTGGAGGGAGGCCGTGCACCACAGGGACTCAGGCTGGATGGCACTGGAGTCCGGCTGACATCACAGGGAGCTGGGCTGGTGGCAGCCTGACTTCTGCTGCGAGGTGTGCTTGAGGATTGCCTGTTTTTCACGTATGCCTTTCTACCGTGGAAGTAATTATCACTGCTATTCATCTCTCTGGATTCTGATGCTACTGCAAGAAAAATCTGCTGTGTGGTGTATTCCACCCAAAATCTCCCTATTCAGACCTGCCAGCTTGGGAGAATGACACAAATTTACACACTGGCCAATTCTGAAGGTCGTCTTGGGAGCTGCTGTGGGGGCATTGCTCCAATTGTGCCCTCTCAATCATCTCCTTGAGACAATCTTTGTTTCATGCAGCAGCACAGCCTCTTGAGAACTGTGCTGGCAGGTACCACCCAGCTCCTTCTCCAGTATTTCCTAGGATCTGCTCTGTTTCTAATGCCACTGTACAGAGCTGTTGGTATCACTCAGATCAATGAACAACTTTCTAAACTGGTATAGCTTTTTTTACTCTACTTTATACTCTTTCTATAGCTGCTTAATGTCAAAACCAACACAGATTCTTTCTACCCCTAATATGCACTCTTAGGAATAGCCCTTTTCATCAAGGAGAAAATCCATGAAATAACTGATAGGTCCCTGTGTCCTTGGAGAAGAGACTTGGGAAGAAAGCTGAGTCTCTTTTGGCGTGGCTGTTTTCAAGGGGAAAAAAGTCCCCAATTGTCAGCAAGGCTTATAAAGACAAATAGTGATAAAAGCTGAAGCGTTTTTCCAAGAAGTTCTGTGTTGAATGTAGCTGAGATGAATGCTACATAGAAAAACAGTCTCAGGAAAGGACCTGCAGCAGCTTAGCTGGGTTTTGGGAGAGGGGTATTTCAGGTGTAAGAAATGTATTAGAGGTTTGGTTGTGGGCTTTTGGGGGGGGTTTGTTTGTTTTTTTTATCTTTGTCACCTGAATTTTTCCTAAAACGGTTTCTTTTTTGGATGTTGTAAATATAGACTTGTATGCCCCTGCACTTCAACTTGATTTGAGGTAAAGGTGATTTCAGAGTTACTGAGGAAGAGGGAGGCATTCCTTAGCCAGGGATGTGGCAAAGTAAAAAGGGATGGTGGGGCAGTCCAGCAACTGTGCACTCCCAGCATGTGCTTCCCAGGTACCACATGGCCAGGATGAAGGCTAGGATCCCTAGAGTCAGGGGAGCTTTCCAGGAGCTTTCCAGGGCCACAGGGCAGGAGTTCACTGAAGAGCTGACAGCTCTGGGAGTCCTCAGAGTTCATCACTGAACTGGTTAGCAAGGTTTGTTCACAAAAACCTTCTGTTACTGATCCTGCAGCTTCTGTACCCTATGGCACTTGTGGAGGAGAGAATGCTGCACCCTTTCCATCACAATTTCCTATGAGGGTCTCTTTTCTACCAAGCCCAAGGATTCTGAAATTATTTCTACTATTTATTTTCATGTTTATTTGTCTAACACTGTGCCTTGGAACACACAGAACTCAGTGGGAGGACTGCAGATTACATCAGTGGGATGTTCTGTTAATAACAAGCTCTGACTCTCTTTATTAGTTCTTTATCTGCAGATCATAATGTTAAAAAGCTGAGGGGAAGGGATAAAGATGATAATTTTGTATCTGATTTCCAGTTAGCTGCCATGCCAATGGTTAGATGGCAATGAAAATACAAACTGTCTTATTTGTCCCATCAGTTCTCATCCTGTCACTGTATCCTGTTTAAAATCCTAGACACTGCAAGTTCTCAGTTTTCAAGGTGAAGGAATAAATGTTCTGGAGTCTTTCTCATCTTATGTTACATGAGGGTATTGAAATATTGATCGCATGCTTTACCCCATACCCAGCAAATAAAGAATTTCCAGTTGGAAGTTATTTTGTGTCTGAGCCAGATCTGGTGGTGCTGGCTCTCAGCAACTTAGTGCAGTAGCTTTTAGAAATCTAAATAGAAGGAAGAGGGTGTAATGGAAAGTGACGTTGGTTTGGGGGCAGAGATCAGCACACATACCATGGGCCTGATGGAGAAACATCTGGGCTTCAAAGCTGCTTGTGGAGTCCTGTGCTGCTTACTGTGAGGAAGGGTAATCTGCACAAAGAACAGCTAAGAGCATGAAAGCAATGCTTCCAAAGCAATGCAGGGCTGCTGAAATCCCTGAGGTCAAGCAGGGGGAATTCCTATAGAAGAAATTGATTGGTTCATTTGGAATAAGCCTCATTCCTCTTCCCTTGCTTGGCCTTGCTCAGTTGTGGTTAAATGAGGAGAGGGATAATAATCATCTGATTATCCTGATAGTGACAGTCTGTGGAACAGTTGGGAGCCCAGGCTTGTCCTCTTGCCAATGCCAGCTCCAGGGATGGGTTCAGCCTTTGGAAAGAGAAATAACGTGTTCCACAATCTCCAACAGGTGCAGCGGCTGTTCCACTGCTGAGTATACCAGAAGAGAGCCTGGAATTGTCACTCTGTGGGCTCATCTCACCTATGTTCCTGATGGGAGACCTGGCATGGGGGAAACTAATGCTCAGTACTGCTGCCTTGTATCTATCACTGCCACCACAGCTGATCCCAGCTCTTCTGGGATCTTTTGGCCCCAGAGCAAATACCATAACCAAGTCAAATTTAAAATTGTATGTGTAAATCTTTTCCATGACAACTAGGAGTGTTAATGGGGCTACCATGATCAATTACTCTCACAGATAAATGTTACTAATGTTTCCCTTTCCTGTTATTTCCTGTAGTCTTCTCTTTAGACCTTATTCCTTACAATAGCAGCCAAAACTGAATGTTCTTTCTGAGCTCCAAATATACTGATATGTCTCCTTGGTGTTTAGCCCTCTCACTACACTTCAGATCAACACATTGATTTGTCCAGACATTAGATAAAAAATAGAGTTCATTTAGGATTAAATACTCATTTATAAATGGGATATGTAACCTGTTTTCCAAAGTCTGTGATATATCTGCTTTGTTACAGATTTATCCAGAGCACCTGAAAAAGGACTGAACTTTAGTTAGCGAAGACAATGTATTTATATTACAAGTTTATTATTCATAGAATCACAGAATGATTTGGGCTGGAAGGGACCTTAAAGACCATCAATTTCCAGCCCCTCTGTTGTGGGCAGGGACACCTTTCACTAAACCAGGTTGCTCGGAGCTTCAAGACTTCCTAACTTGCTACAGCCATTTAACTCCATTCAAAGTATTTCAAGGTCCAATGCTCCTTTCTATGACTTTTCCATTAACCTCTTCCTATCTCCCCTAAATAAATGGCTACTCAGGTTTCTACAAGTAAGGGCTTTTCATCTCTGCTGTAATGACTTCAGGTGTACAGCTGCCCTGTAGGATGTGCTCCATTTTTTCTGCATCATGTCTGTAACACAATAACCTGCTATTGCTTCAGGAAAAGATGAATTAAATTTTCCAAGCAATAACTAAAGCGGCTTAAGTGGATGGGGTTTTTCCACAGAGGAGAGATAAAGTTACTTAAACAAATGATTTAATTTTACACAAAGTCCTGAATGTTTTTCCCTAGCAATCAGTGACAGTTCTGATTAGGGAGATGCCCCAAAGTTTTTATTGGTTAATTGGTGTCACTGTATTGACACATGGGGGCATTAAATTCAGCTTTGACTTTCACATTGTATAAACGGTCTCACCTGAGTCAGTGAATAGCACCACTGTAGGCTATGCAAGTTTTACTTTGCTCAAAGCATAAGACAGAACAGAATCCATCACAGCAGTTGGGAACAAAGCACACACAAACACCAGGACCTTCTCCTTCAGCTTTGCCACCATGTAACGTGCCTTGGGTGCAGGAGATGTTAGAGCATCCACCATAGCATCCACAACCTCATTGCCATTAGTGCTTCCCTCACTGAGGATACTGTTGAAAAAGTTTGCCCGCTCTTGAACATACTCCTTGTTGTAAACAGCCTTTTCCTCTTCACTGAGTTCACTCCAGATCTCTTCGGCACTGAGTGGTGGCTGAATTTTTGTAGAGCGTGCATAGTTTCCTGGCTGGATAATACAGACCTGAAAGGAAGATGGAAAACTTATCAAGGTGCAATCAGTCATCGTGAATTTAATTAAACACTACAGTCAGTAACACAAAAGCTCTCTACAGACAGACAGAAAACGCTGATTTGTTGAAATTTTAACCCTGGAAACTTAGACTGAAACCAAATATATTCCTGTGAAATATTTAAGATTGCAGAGGTGCTTTATTCTGGCTTCCTCATTTTGCTCTGATGTTAATGTTCTTGTTTTGACTACTCAGCACACCCTCAGAATGCAATAGAGCATCTTTGATTGCTGTAGAATTCTTAACAGTATAAATGTTTTGACAATACTGATACAAAGCATTTCAGTATGACTTTGATGTCTCCAAAGTGGAATACTTTGGATTTTTCACTCAGTGGAGAACCTTGCAATTGGTAATTTTTTGACCCAATTTGGGACAAAAGGAGATATCAAAGAAAATTATTGGGTCTTGGGGAAAGAAGTGCTGTTTTCCCCAAGTAGATGTAATTAAAAGTAAACCAGGTCTTGTCAGCACGGAGGGATCTCAGGTCCTGCTCTGCCTCACATTGAAGCCACTAGCAAATTTCTGTAGATCTGTGTGCATAGATTTAAATGAAAAGCGCGCAAGTCTTTTTCTGCTCCACATGTTTTCTTTGTGTGTTGCTGCTGTTCTGCTCCCTTCTGAGTGTTCCAAGGAGTTTTGGAGCAGGCTGAGCACTCACAGCATACATGCTGTTCCTCGGTTAGCAGCAGCCTTGTTCAAACTATTTGTAGATATGCAACATTAAAAGCTCCATGGCATTTACCTGACCTGATTTCTGAATACTGCAACACAAGGTGAGGAAAACCCTTGCTGAGCTGTGTCAGAGACTTGGGGATCTGACAGGCATTCTCTGGGAAGTATGTGATGATATAGAACCCTGATGTTTTCACTCAGCCATCCAGCCCACCCAGCAGAGGCTCTCACCTGTGTCAGTCCCTGCCTGCTGGCCTGTGTGGTGATGGATTTGCTGCTCTCTGGAGGACTGGGGTGCAGGTCCTATGCACAGGGAGAAGGGAGGGATGCAGATAAACTCCAGCAGAGGGATGGAGTGCACAGCTGGGACACTGTGTGCTGCCTCAAGCAGGTTTGTCACACAGCATCCTCGGGAGCCCTCCCTTCTGGTGCTATTTAGAAAAGTGTTTGGTATCAGCCAAACTAATGCCACTAGTAAACTTCCCAGATTTATTGTTAACAAAGGGGTTTTGAAAGCTTCTTTTTTTGGTGCTGGCTTGGACAGAAGGATAGATGGTTTAGTTTTTGCCCTTCCCACATTTTTTGTAGCCTTTCCACTGGAAGACACACACTTTATTTCCTGTAGGCTGTCAGCTTGCCTGGCCAGAGTTCAGTGGGACAGAGCCATAGCTCTATCTGCTTCTTGCCACCTCTGAGCAGCTTTTTCCTGAAAGGACAGAGAGGAGCATAGAACAGTGCAAGGGAGCACTGGAAACAAGGACCATGTATTTTGTAGACTCTCCACAGTGTAGGCTCTCAGGCAAATGCCAGCCAGCATTCTGCATACAGTGAGAAACAGAAAAATACCTCTCAGAGATACTCCAAAAATGTTTGTCAGCCTGACTCACTCAGTTATGGGCTGGGACTACTGCAGAGGTGGAACAGGAAAAATCTCAAGACAACCAGAGTAGCTAACCTGTTAAACTAAGCCTTTCCATGCATTTGAGATTATCCTCTGCTAATCAGCAGAAATCCTCATCGTGCTGTGTGGTATTAGGATGTGCAAAGTCACTTGCATTTTACAGCCCTTCATATTTATATGACAGGGGTAGCTAATAGATGCATAGCTGTAATATTTTCCAACACAAAGCTTATGAACAATGCTGTAAATCTGAGTACATAAACACAATACACCAATGCAAACCTGCCAGGGAAGACTTTGAGTGTTTGAGAAAAATGTTTCAGCAATAGAGTGACTCCAAGGAAAAAGCCCAGTGAAGCTACTTAGTGATCTAAGCTTCAGGTTTGACTATTAGAGTTGCTTAGGGCTCTAAGAGCACTCTTAGAGCCTCTTAGGTTAAGAGAATAAAAACATAATTACTCTGCACAATGCTGCCTCTTGCAGCATAGCTGTTCTCACAAAAAGCAAGGAGTTGGTCTTGTAAGAGGAGAGAAGGAACCCCTCAGGCAAGTAACAAGCCTCCTTCTGGCTGCACAGCACTCAGTGTCTGGGCTCTTTGCAGCCACCCAGGGAACATTTGGGTTCCTCACTGCTTTTGGGAGCTCAGGCAGCCTGTGTCAGGAAGCTTCACTGCAGAGGATGTGGAGAAAGGGTGGAAGTTTCAGTGCTGACACACAGACCTGTTACCCACCAGCTTCTCAGAAGCAAAAACATCACCCAGGACTGCTGTTCCCAGGTTCCAAAAGGAAGCTGCATCCATGAATGAAGTTCTGATCTCTTCCCTTTGTTACTTTGTTTCACATAACTCATTACATCCCTTACCTCGTTTCCAGGTTCTTGTTACATCACTTACCTGGACACCAAACTTCTTCATTTCCAGTCTTAAAGCATCACAAAATTTTTCAATAGCTGCCTTGGTCATAGAATAAATGCCATTTCCCAAAGTAAAATAGGCAATGATGCTGGACATGAAAACAATACGTCCTAGAAAGAAAACAGTACAAATAATATAACTTCACTCTCAGTCGTTAACATGGAATCAATTAATCTCAGTCTTCTGAGCTGCTAAGAATGTGGTGTTTAGCAGGAGACTGTTCTACTGTACACTGTGCCAAAACTGGGCAGTGTCGGTGTGCAGTCCAGCACAGAAGGGCATTCATTAAGCTGAAAACTTCACACAAAAATCTTCCACCTAGTGACAGATGTTGGACTATACAAAGTGTAACACATTCCCAGTGGGCTGCTTATTCCTTCTGAGCCTGAGATATGATGAAAAAGATGGAAACAAAGCAGTGCCCTAATGACTGAAAAATAGTACTAAGAGACTGTGCTCGTAAGAGGAGAAGGACTGCAGAGGAGAGGGGAGGTGATTTTCCCTGAGCTGGATATATGGTTACTAATATCAGTTTTTTCTGTGCTAATGATATCTCTGCACTGAGACCTGGTTTTATAACTGTGCATATGAAGTCCAAGCCAGACTGTACAGTGATAAGCTTCACTGAGGAAACGTGACTTGTCAAATGTGTGCAGGTTTATAACACCTTACAATGATTTCCCTGATCTGTGCTGCTTTTCCCTCCTTTCTAACTCCTGCTGAGTGCAGGCATGCCTTAAGTAGCAGATTCCTCATTTGAGGCACTGGACTGTGGTTCATTTCCATTGTTTCCTTGTAAACTTCTGTCACCTAGTCCTACCATGGGGTAAGGAATGTCTGAGTGTGGATATACAAATATCAGAGGTGAGGAAGAAGATGGCCTTCAATACAAAGAACACAGCTGCACTCCTGTTGCCGCCACAGATGCAGATAACATCTGGGCCCCATATCTCATCAAACAGAACAGTGTTGGGGGACATCAAAAGGTACCATGGGAATGCAGTGAAATCTGTCATTCTGAATTAGTTTTCCTGCCTTCCTACGACATCCCAAATAAATCTTATATACAGTAAAAGAAAAATAACTACCAGCTTGCTGATCAAGATGCTCTATCAGCTGTCCTGGCCAGCTGGAAAAGATATGGGGAAACGTTGCTCCTCTCAGGGTAGAATGTTTAAGTCCTAGGCTAGAGAGCATTACCTCCCTTTAAAAGTAATAATAATTGTATTTATAATTTTGTAGTGTTTCTTGGAATAGGTGCACATCCATGGCAGTAAGCCATGGGTAGGATGACCTCTGCCTCCTTTGTCCAGTAGACCCCAGAGTGGTCTGGGGCACATACCCAGGATGTGGGACACTCACTTAACTTCTCTTTGTGCCTTAAGGGAATTGAAACCCAGCTTTCCCAGGAGGATGCTCTAATGTCTGTAATTCAAGTTTTTCATTTGGAGAGGTCACTTGCTGTCCCCAGTTGCATAAGCTTTAGCTGTCCTGCTTGTTCCTTCAAGGAAGGTGACAGGAAATCTAGGATTCTTCTTTTGGATTTTTCCTGGAGTGACTTGTCCTCCTCTCCTACACAGATGGTACTTGAAAATGGAGTGCAGGACTTAATCAAGGAAACACTGACAGCCTTGAGAGAGATATAAAATGTTCCTTTGAGCTAAGGTCTGTGTCCAGCCATCCAGACCCAAACCTTCTAAAGGTTTATGCATGTGCTTAATGTTGCACACACAATTAGTCACTTTTGCTTCAAAGTAACCCTGTGCAATTCATGGGGTCAGAGAAATGCCTCAGGTGGATCAGCATCACACAGTTTCACCAGTAAGTAGGACATGACAGGGAAAAGAGATGTCTCCCTGTGTAATGGCCACATAACACATTCACTGGATACACACAATAGCACATTCTTCTACAAAAACATATCCAGCTTGCAGTATTTAAAGGCTTTTTCCTTCTCATGTCAGAATATCATCAACGAAAGGCAGCCAAACAGAAAGCAGCAGAATAGCCCAAAAAAGAGATGTTTTTATCTTACCAACAGTTTGTGTAGCAGTGACACCTGGGGTTTCCAGGTGAAATCTACCCCTTCCTCTGCTTGATGCTGCACACAGAGCAGAAATCCTCACTCTAAAGAGCCTACAGCCAGAACAGACAAGGAAGAGGGGATCTTCTTCCCCAAACACAGATGGAGATAGGTAGGGAACAAACTGCAGAGCACCCAAGACATGCTGCCAACACTGCAGAGGATTATTGAACCATTCCTTCTCAGAAAGAAGGAAAAAACCCACATGTAGGGAGGTTCATGCAAATGCATTTATCTCACTGGATATCCATGCACCTCTACATACTTGAAGTTTCCTGCCCAAGGTCACAGAGGCTTCACAGAGCTGGAACTGGAAGCTGGATGTCTCTAGTTCACCTCTGCAGGGTCATTCCTCCTCTCCTAGTTGCCAAACAATAAAATTGTAAAGCCTAAATAATAAAATTAAGCAGTTTAATGGATCTTTGTGTTTTCGGATTGTCAGTGCTTAAAAAGGTTTGCCTGGGCTTAATGATTTATGGTAAACCTTCTTCCTCTCTTTTTTGAGTCAAACACTGAGAGAAATCCTTATTTTTAAATACTTTTTTCTGTGGATTGCAAAGACAGAATCTTTAAGGATATTTTTTCCCCTTATGACTTTACCCTCTTTTCAGGATCAAGTTGCTCTTTCAGGCCACACAGAAGGAAGCTGTCATTTCAGTTCAATGAGAGACAATTAAAGCCTCTTTTATAGATGCTACATTACCCTGATTATAGTAAGCTAATTATTCTACAACTCTAAATAACAGTGGATTAGCATTACCCTTGTATTTCCTTAGAAGGGGGAGAAATGCCAGAGTTGTCCTGATGCTCCCAAGGAGATTCACATCTGCAAATTTTTCGTATGTCTCCATAGGCAGCCACCCTGTCTCGCCAAATGTTGATATTCCTGCATTGTTGACAAGTCCCCAGAAACCTATGGAAGAGAAATGAGTCAGGAAGCATCTTTAACTGCAAAGCAAGCACTGTTAGATAACAAAGCAACACCTCTGATTCGGACCCTTGGGGGAAATGTACAGTTACATAACATTTTTATCTTTTCCACTTAAAAGTGCAGGCATGTTTTGTTTAATGAAGGAATGCCATTGTAGCCATAACCTGGACTAAATTGAACCATAGAATAGTTTAGGTTGGAAAAGTCCTTAAAGATCATCCAGTTCTATCCCCCTCCTCCCATGGTCAGGGACACCTTTCCAATAAGTCTCAGTGCTATTTAATAATCCCTCACTCTACAGTTGTCTGAAGATATTTATGAATAACATGATCTGGGAGGCTTCATTGAGAATACATCTTACTGCCAGTGTGGTCTACCATGATATTTTAATTACTTTAATCCCACTGTGTGCTATGAGCAGCTTTGTGAAAATTATATTAAGCAGTCGAAAGGCTAAGGGGCACTATTTTCAAAGTGCCTGACTAATTTAAGAGCCTAAGTCTTGCATCTTTTTCCAAGATTTGAGCTCTGATTTCTTCTGAAATCAGCCACAATCAGGTACATGGCTGCAACATGAAGTAAAGTAACCAAGCAGGGTCAGTGGCTACCAATCAGGGTCACTATTTTTTCAGTTTTGTACTTTTGAATAATTTTATTCCCCATGTAATGACAGATTTTGGTGCTAAAAAGCCTGCCCCCTGACAAACAGAAAGATTTCAGTGTTTGCAAACATATTGGCAGCAAAACTTTTTCTAGCAGAGCTCAGTGACAGGAAGCTGAAGCCTTTAGCCCAAAGGCACAGCAGGTCTCCTGTGAGCCCTGTGCAGTGCTAACAGGGCTGTGGGAACGCTGTGTGTTGGAGTGGGGAGCACTCCAGGCTGGAGCTGACACGCTGCCTAAGCGCTGATTAAACCATGCTGACTGTTCTTGCCTGCACAGCCTGTAACTGTACATGTACAGCAAAGCACGGAGTGATGCAGTGCATTTCTGTTCCTGTCCTCCAGTCCTGACTGACAGCATTTCCAGGGTGACCAGCAGTGTAACTGAGGAGTACCAGGGCAGCCTGACTGGTGCTGAAACAGCTGAATTTGCAGCTTAGTTCCGCCAGCCTTGACAATTTTCCTCATGCATTTATTTTAAAGAACCCTTGTAGGTGTCCAAGGCAAATAATTGTTTTGTCGTGCCTCCTAGAGGACCTCCAATCCTGGGATTTCTGGAGAGGCAGAGCAGGTTTTAGTGTCTCTCTTACTCCCTCTGGACACAAGAATTTGGGGAAAAAGTGACACTGACCCAGCTGTACCTGTGGCAGCAGAGTGATTCTCAAGGGACTTTTGATCACCTTAATGAAGGCAGTGCAGAAACCTCTGGGTTGAACCCTTTTCTTTCTGATCTTCTTCAACAAACCTACTGAAATAATTTCATGGTATCTTGGTCCTTCCAGAGCCCTGACAAGAACTGCCAAAAAGTTATTCACAAAAGTAGTGAAATATGAAACTTTAAAATTTTGGAATTAGTTTGTAAAGCAGATCTCTGTAAGCTTTTCTAACATATATATACACTACTACTTGTGTTACCTAATAAAATCGGCCTTTAAACAGAGAAAGAAACTGTTTTCTTTTAGTGAAGGTCTCATTTGCAGGGCAAAACACTCAAAATCAGGAATTTACCCCCCAGAACTTGGATAACTCTATCCTCCAAAGAGAATCAATCCCTATTCAGCAGCCTGTCACACAGAAATACTTGACACTGGACCTCTCTTACAACTTCAGTTACAGACAGATTGCTGCCCAGTAATGCCACAGTTTCCTCTGGACTCACTTCTGTTCCATGGCCCCAAATGTTAGCAGATAGAGGAGAGGAAAGGGCCTTAAAAATTGGCCATGGAATTGGGCATCCTGGACTTCCTTTCCCCCCTGCCACTGCTGTATTGTTCCATGTCTTTCCATCATTCTCTGGCTTTATTTCTCCATCTCAAAATGGAACCCAGCCCCATAAAATGCTTCCAGATCAATGGCTTAGAGAGCCCTCTGCAGAAGCTAATTATCAGTATTTTTGTACTTTCACATGATCTGATCTGCAGATGGGCTGAGTGGCTGCACACCCCATCTGTGTCTGCTCAAAGCTGGAGGTTTCTGTACTCAGGGTTATTTTTACATAACCTAGCTAACACAACCCAAACTAAAGCCTGGCATCATGACAAAAGCTGTTTTCTGATCTTTTCAGCTTTACCTTTTCTAATTAAAAAAAGTCATTTTGCTTCTGCCACTGGACTCTGTGCTTGCTCCACATAACCCTGATTTCATCAGGCCTTCAGAAATATAGCCATTAATCTTTAGACAATTGATTTTCTTCCTATTTCTCTAAACTGTGAAACTCAGAATTTAGCTTGCAAGGCTTAAGTTTTCTCTCCAGCCATTTGCCTCATCTGCTCCAAAGCCTCCAGGTGGCTGCTGGTGAGGCCAGCCTGTGTGTATCAACAGAGCTCACAAAATAATGGCTCCTTCCTTCTGTGTAGTGTCCAAATCAAAAGCCATGAAGAGGAAAATTAGTGGGAGTTAAACTAAGACAGACTTTTTAAAGAGAAGATTAAGTTAAACAAAAAAAGACACTTTGCACCCGGTCATCTCAAAACACTTTGTTTGCCCTTAAGCAAAACGTATTGTTTCTTAGAACATTCTGGAATTCCCAAATGGGAAATGTTCTGATATTTTTCAGAATGTTTCCTGCCACTTTGTTTAGCTGAATCAATTCACAAAATTCTACCCAAATGAAAAACAGTTCATTATCCCCTTATGCCACTTTCTTAGGATATTTCCTACTTCCTGAGAAACAATCTGCTCAGCTCTGTATTCAGGGTACTTGAATCTGCTTTGGTCTTCCTTTCCTGAAATGTTTGTGGTAAAAATTAATGCTATAAATGTGCATTCAAAACATATTGTAAATTTGCTTAGACAAATGCAGCTCAGGTAACATAAAAAATGCAGATGGAAATCCTGAAGGCCAAGGCACACGGACTGAACAGCTGAAAGAGAGTGACACTGCATTTCCTCAGTGTCCATGCAGAGACACATTTGGAAAAAGCAGCTGATGTTTGCTGTGTCAGACTGTCAAAACAGAACTCAGTCCAAACACAGTTTATAAAGAGAGGTGTTAGACTATGCTTCAGAAGACAGGGAAAAAATAAACTGGAAAGCAGGACTGGATGTCACAGAGATTTTCACTGATCTCTTTGTTAGGAAAATGGATCCTGATAACAAAGATTAAAAGATACAGCCATGGGTCTAAGAATCACTTTAGGAAACCGAACTTAAGATTAGTGAGAGAAGCTTTCTGGAGAACAGCAGCTCTCACATAAGCTCCCCAATAATTTCTACTTCACAACATGGTGACCAAAAGGCACAAATCCAAAGTCCTTATTTCGGCCCCAAAGATGTCTGATATTTCTTCCAGAAACTCTTAAAAGTCCTCTTTCTATTAAAGTTAATGCAGCTGCAGGTTTGCAAAACCTTTTGAAAATCAGTTTGTTTCTGTGTTGGTGCCAACACTCAGATAATACCAGAATTCTGCCACACTCTCCTAATTCTAACAGGTTTTCTTAGGATCACTGATCTTTCGAGTTTCTTCTCTAAGTCTGAGCCCATGTGAAAATGACAAGTTCTTTTCTGATAGATTCCAGACCTAGCCAAAGGCAGGATAGTGTGATTTGCCACGTTCCTTTGGAAAAATGAGGAGAGGGAACAACCCAGTCTGTTTGTGGCAATGCAGATGAGGCCAGATGAGATTCCTGAGTTATATTTGCATCCATTCATGAGTCACCAGCCTTTGCTTGGAATATTATGCTGAAATTCTCTTCACTGTAAGGATAATCTATTTCTATAGGGAGTCTGGACTAAAATATTGTACCATGGGTGAATTCCATGAATAGAAAATCATAATTAAGTGTAAGAGAGTACTTAATAACCTTGGAGTAGGAAGTGGGACTAACATTAATATCCCTCCATTCCAGCTAGCCCACTAGCTGTCACCCACTCACAACAGCCAAGAAAAGGAAGGGAAATTCTGGTTTGAAACAGAAGAAAAACAGAAAAATTCTGAGGTTTTCTCTAGAGCCTAATAGAATTGCAAATCACCATGCTCTGAAGTCCTGGTCTACTTCATATCGGCTTTGGATTTCTACTCTTGCATAACAGAGAGAGAGAAGATAATGAGGAGCTTGGGCCAGTTATGGTTACAGCAGAACTAGTAGGGAGAACTGTATTTTATTCCTGATACTCTGATTTTATTCTTATATTTTACATATTTTTTGTGTACATTTTATACCGAATGGTCTACTTAAAGTAGAAAGTCTCTTTTAGTTTTTGTAAGTCTTCTTATCCTGGGCCCAGGAAAAAGGAAGATTAAGGAGACTCAAAAAACAGAATATCTCCCAAAAAGCCCTTCTAGTCTGAGATGCATAGTCCATGGAAAGGATGATGCTGTAATCATCCTGGTAATGTTTACCAGGATTTACTCTGAACTATTTAAATTCAGGCATGCAAAAAACAATTATCTTTTAACTGTTTTCTCTTTATTTTGGCCCAACTTCTGAGGTTGCATTTGGAATCCGTGGCCTTTGCACACTTACCACTAGGCCTGGGATTATTGAAGTGACTATTTTTGGAACGATACAGGAATGTTTTGGTGATCAGAATTCAGAATTTAAAATCTTTCATACCTGTGTGAAACTGATTATAGTCAAAATGGCAAAAAAGAGGGAATAATCCCTAAGCAGTACCTAGTGATTCCCAGGGATAGGTTCCTCTTCTCAGTTTCTACAGGAAATTGCTGAAGAGAATTGTCCTATTGTGAAGGAGGGAGAGGAAGAAACGGAGAAAACTGTCCCAAAGTACTTAAAAGCTAACAGTGACATACAGAACACTTCCAGAAACTACTTAAAAGGTGGATGCTCTCACAGCTTTTATGCAAGGTAATGCATGATCTACTGTAACCTTTCAGCACAATCTACTGGATCCCTACATCCACACAGTTTGAATTGTTTGTGCAAAAACCAAAAGCCATTGGATATTTTATCTGTTCAGTACTTATTTACAACAGTCTACCGGCCTCACCACGCACTCTTTGCTCTCCTCATAACAAATGTCTGAGCTGCATTTGATTTCCACTTTGGTCAGTTCTCTGCTGTAGACCCTGGATGTGGCTGTCCATGATCCACAAAGGAAAATGTCCTAAGGTTTCATCACTCAGGGTTCTTGTGCCTTTGCGCTACCTGGATCTATAACATTGCTTTTACTTTTCTGCCTTTGCAGAATACTCTCGAAATTCTGTAACAGCAGAGCTGCCCAGCCATGTAAAAAGGTTTCATAAAATGTGTGTGCTTGCCCAGCCCAGTCTCCCGAGCGTGAGGGCCTGAGTGACAGTCCAGGAACACCCCTGTGCACACATTGTGTGCCTGCTGCATTCCACACCAGCCGTGCTGGATGTCTGCAGGGACCTGGAATCGATCTGAAGGCACAGCCACAATCTGTAAGCAGCAAGGAGAGCCCACAAGTTAGTGCTGACTCTGGACTCCAGGGTCTACCTGGCAGCATGAGCACAACCATTGCAGGACAGCATAAGCTGCCAGAATTGCAGGATAAATTATGTGAAACTCAGTTTCAAGTGACCTGGTCCCCATGGAGCCTTTAAGGGTTTTTGGGAGACGCTTGGGTTCGTCTGTAGGTTGAGGAAAAGCCTGAGGAGAAAGGCTGTGCTTTGTAATAAGGTCAAGATCAACCATAAGTACAGGTACTTAATGAGCAAGGTGGCTTTTTTTTCCTTCACTTCTCATTCCATCCCCTTCCCAATGAGCTAATAAGCCAGGCAGGCATAAGCCTTGCATTTCATTATCTCTCCCTGTGCCTCATTCTCCACTTTTATTCCCTGTATGAGCAGAAAGTGTTTGTTTGTGATTTGGAGGGAATCCCACTTCTGAGCCTGAGGAAATCTGCTCCGCACCAAGCGCATCCCAGAATTACACTGGCTAATTCTCACCATGCAGTCCCAGTGGGAAAGGAGGTGACCGTGGCCTCCTCACCTGCGCTGTGTCATGTGTGCTGAAGGGATAACCCAGGATTTAGGCTGTCTGCAATTATTCTGGAGCTAAGTCTATCCATTCCCCTGGGTGCACACTCCCTGTAGGGTGTATAATTGACACGTTTCCCTTTCAGTAACCTCTCCAGGGACTAGCCTGGCAAACCTCAAGTGGCTCCCAGAATCAGCTGCTTTGGTATGGCACGGCGGCTGCCCCCGCTGCGTTTCTTGTACCTATTTCCTCTTTCGCAAGTCATGCCCAGAAAGGCATCACATTCCCCTCCCTCCAATGCCTGCACAGTTGTTCTGCACTTTCTCTGCCGTTTTCTTCTATTGAGTACCTGCGGGGTGGCTCCAGGGCCGCCCCACTCCGGGAGATCCTGTCCCCGTGGAAAGGTGAAGCTCTCCCGTGGCGCACTGAGCAGCACGCCCACTCTACACCGTCGGCACCTTCGGACAGACCCCGGCCCGTGTACGCACCAAGGGGTTTTTAATAAAATCCTGCCGTCATTACCGATAGCGGTAACTGCACTTAGCCCATCACTGACGGTGCTCGCCACCCTCACGCCGTGACAGTCCAGCCGGCCCTCTCGGGTACCTCCGAGCCAGCAGTGCCGGGCGAACCGAGCCGCCGTCTTGGCGACACCGCGCCCGCCGGTGCCTGGCGCTGCCGGCAGCCGAGCCCCCCGCCCTCTCTCCCCGCCGGCCTCACCTCGCTCGGGCAGGTGGCTGAGCACCAGCTCCTTGGCGGCTCGCACATCCTGGGCGCGGGTCACATCG